TTGCTATTCCTTATCCACGGGATTCAGGAAAGAGGCAGTTGTTAAGGAAATCAAAGGAAAGATTGCTCTGGTAGGAAGCCATAAATGGTAATAAAAGCTGAAAATATATTCAAAAAGAGTTGAGGTATGTTTATAAGTTTTAAAATCATCATTCGTTATAGAGTGAGCCTATCAGACAGCAAATTAGAGGTGTCTGATTTATCACTATAGCCTGTCCTCCCACAGAGTAGCCTTCAGTAGGATGAGCCCTTGGCCTGACTCAGCATGACAGTTCATTTTCAGATTGTCAGTGTTTTATTGCAGAGTCCCTGCTGTCGCTCCACCTGATATTGTGTCTGTGCCATTGAGACGAGGCATGTCCATCCCTACATTGATGCACATATGGTTAAAACATCCACACATTGTTAAAATTTAAGTTCCAATATTTGAGACTCAGAGAAGCCTTTGGGGCAAGAAAAAAAGATGTATTACTTATTCACTAATAGTCATTAAATAATCGAATTTTAAATTGATTTGAAATGTGTGTGTGTGTGTATATATATATATATATATATATTTCAGAAATGTGAGCCATTAATATTCACCTTCATACTGTTTCATTTATTCCCCCTCTTAAAGATATTTTTGATACCTCTAAGTGTCAACATCAATGATAAGAGTATAAATTGTCATGCATGACAATTCCATTCTTGTTGGCAGTTTAATTGTTCTACAAAACAGAATAAAATTAAGCAAAGACAACCCTTGTAGATTATTTTTAGTTAAAACAATTATATAGGAATTTCTTTATTCTGACTTCACTTAATGCAAACGAAAACCAAAAAATTTAGATTGACTATAATAACTATGCACCATTAATATTTGGCCTCTGAAAGGCACTGCTTTGCATACTAAGGATAGAACAGGTGGAAAATGTATTTTTCTAAATCCAATTTCCAAATATTAAGGTAATGAGTGTTTTCTGTGAAATTTATAAAAGGATTCTTGGGCTTGGAGAATTTGTGGAATTGGCCTTTTTCTTTTTCTTTTTCTAAAATATATTTTTGTTGATTTTAGAGAAAAAGAAGGGCAAGGGAAAAAGAGAAACATCAGTGATGAGAGAAAATCATTGATTGGCTACCTTCTGCACATACCTCACTGGGGATTGAGCCTGAAACCTCCACATGTGCCCTGACCAGGAATGGAACCATGACCTCCTGGTTCATGGGTCAGCACTTAACCACTGACCCACACCGGCTGGATGGGGATTGGCCTTTTTCAGTGATGCTTTGGTTTTGATTTGTTGTGTCAAGGAAACCCAATGGCATAGCACAGGGGCCATGACATAGTAAGTATTAAAAAGAGTTCATCTTGGCCAGCTGGCGTGGTTCAGTGATTGAGCCTTGACCTATGGACCAGAAAGTCACAGTTCGATTCCCGGTCAGGCCATATGCCCGGGTTACAGGCTCAGTTCCCAGTGTGGTGCGTGCAGGAGGCAGCCAATCAATGGTTCTCTCTCATCACTGATGTCTCTATCTCTCTCTCTCCCTCTCCCTTCCTCTCTGAAATCAATAAAAATATTTTCCAAAAAAAAAAGAGTTTCTCTAAAGCTAATCCAGCATAAAAGGGGAGAAGTGTCTAAAGGATTTTAATTCTATTTTAGTATGACTTCTAACAAATAACTGTACACCTCAGAGCTGTAATTGTTCAGTCATTGGACATTTCCCTGCCTAGTAACCATGTCCAAGCCCCAGAGAGGCCCTTACCCTGGGGTCCACAGGTCCCACGAGGTGGGGAAGTGTGAGTGACTCACGGTTGAAAGCTGTTTCTGATGCCTACTGCGCTTTCTCAGACAGCGCAAGGACGAGCTGGAGCAGAGGATGTCCGCGCTGCAGGAGAGCCGGCGGGAGCTAATGGTCCAGTTGGAAGGTCTCATGAAGCTACTCAAGGTAAGACGTTGGCATTTGTGTCATTTTTTGCACGTAATGTGCATTATTTTTTATAATCCCGATATGCGATTTCCCCAAAATGCAGTCTTAAATTCAGACCTGAGAACTTTTCTCAGCTACATCACATGATAGCAGTCAAGTATCAGGCTTATTCTTGTCCATTTTCTGGAACCTGGTTACTGAGGACTATCACGGAACAACTTCTCGGCTTATTTCCAGTTTCATATGTCCTTGAACGTAATAAAACTGGATTTATTGAGAAACATTTTACTTTACTAGCTTTCAGCAGTTCTGATTAAATTGAACAGAAGTTAATGTCTAATGAAGATGTAGCGATGAATGAACTTTTGGTGGTCGTAGCTTCATTCAGAAGAGTAACTTTATTAATTTCAGTAAAATTTTTTATCTTACCTGAGTGGCTTTAGCAACAAGTCACATAAGTTCCATGGGTCTCAAATGCAAACTGTAGATGGAAATATCTCCGCTTTTTTAATCCTGCTGCCTACGAAACATTCGTCTCTTGGGCCAAAAAGAAATTCCTGATAAATTACTAACAAATCTAGTTTCATAAAGTAGAGCTTCTTTGAAAATGTTACTGATCTCCTTACTTTTCTGAAGGTAGAGTTTAACTGACGATCTCTAGGAGTCCTGGGCCGAGTGCTGGAACCATTGTTCTCACTGGGAAGTGATTCTTCCTTTCAGAAGCCCTAGGCCCCTGTTCAGTGTACACTGAGTCGCATTTTGAGTCAAAAGTAGACTCATTGTGGCCACATGTCCGCAGTCAGCCCAGGAGAAGGGTCAGTGCTGTGAGGTCCCCTGGCCGGACACAGGCACAAGCCAGGATGGGCTGCGACTGTGCGTGCCAGAGGCAGCGACTAGAACTTCCCTTAGGTGACAGAGGCACAGTCCCTGGGGACACTTCCTTGTGAGGCAGTGGTCCCGGCTCCCAGGCCATCCATGGATCCCTCACATCCCTGGCACACCTTCCTTTATTGTTTCTGTATTGTTCTCTCTCTCTCTCTCTCTCTCTCTCTCTCTCTCTCTCTCATAGTTATCACTAGAAATGATGTTCCATACTTCTTATTTCCTTTACCAGTTGTATCTTTTTTTTTTTTTTTACAGTATTTGAAAGCAGGCATTTTATCA